CCCTTCTCCAATCCCCTCCCCCTGCTCCTCCCTCCTCCAGTCCCCTGCCCCTGCCCCTCCCTCCTTCAACCCCCTCCTCCTGCCCCTCCCTCCTCCAGCCCCCTCCCCCTGCTCCTCATTGGCAGATTCAGATTAAGTCCTAGGTGTGTATCCCAGGGCTTCTGACCGTCAGCATGTGCTCCTGGCCCATTCCACCAGCCGCACAAAGTTCCTAAACTTGGGAACCAGATCCCCGGATGCAGATTCTCATTCCACCCCTGTGTGTGAGATCCTGCGTGGGTTGTATAACCCTAGATGGGTTAGGCCTGACACTGCGTCCATTTTCCAGGCGGAACCAGAGTGACCCCTCGAGTTCCACTCTTCCGTGGGACGAATAGGTCCATGATTGCCTGCTGTCCCTACCCCCTGCCCGAGGGGAACACAAGGGGGAGGGGAGGGGAGGCCACTCAGAATCCACCCCGGTCTTTCTTTGCCCTGATGCCTGGCAGGGTTTCAGTAAATGAACGACACCGCCCCCCCCCGCCCCCCCTTACACTGAGATTTCTGAATCTCCTAGTTTGGCCCTTGTCTCGCTCCCAAGTTTTTGCTATTCTGGATTTCAGAAAATAGTTCAGTTGCCAAAATGGGTTGAATGAGCTACTTTTAACCGCTTCGCAGGGTCGTTCTAGCAAGTCTCCTTCACAGAGGCGTCCTGCAGGATAATGTTTCCACCAGAGCTGAGGGCTTGCGAAGTTGACATCAGGAGACCTCTTCTGCCGTCCCCTTCCAGGAAAACAGACATTCCCTAAGTCTCCCCCCACCCCACCCCCAAACTGGAGGGGCAAGATAAATGAAGGCTTGGATCTCCGTCAGGGAATCTCACACCCAGGTATCCAGAAGATGGAGACTAACACCTCAGGTCCACAGTGAGGTCCTCTGTGGGCTGCTGGTGTAGTCCTCTCTGGATGGCCTGAGGCTGTAACCTTAGCTATTTAATTTAAAATTGGTTCAGGAGCTCATGTTTATGGATAAACGAGTAAAACAGTAAAGATCAAAAGCAAAAAATAAAATTACTATGGAATTCAATATTTCAGAAGCCCGAGCCCGGTGAACGTTAGTCAAGTGCGGTGTTCGGGACACTTATGATAATGCGCCTAACAAGGAAATGAGATCTCGACACCGCGATTCTCCCGTTCCCTGTCCCCCGAGGTTAGAGATTATGCGGTGCACGATGTTGCTGTTTTTAGCTGCTTTGGTAATTCCTATGGTGAGAGACACGGCACTCTGCTTATTTGTCACGTTGC